ATAACGAATTATTTGATATAACGAATTTTTAGTGTGAAACAGATTTTAATATATGAAAAAATTTTTGATATAGTGAATTTTACTAATTATATTTGCTATAGTCTTGTGTGAAGTTAAGTACTTAAATAATATATATAAAATGACTCTTGATATAATAAATTTTTCTTATAATGAATTCTTTTTTTACTACAATAAAGCATGTGACTTAATAACTCAATTTTTATTGATTAATCAGTTAATTATATTATAAAAATAATTTAATTTTAAATTGCAATAACTTGGTTAATATTAATGTTACAGATATGAAACAAATACCATTCAAATCCTCTAAATGAGACGAATCTAATGATACTAAATCATAAAGATCTAATTACTGGATGCTTAGATCAATCAAAATAAATATCTTTAAATATTCAGTATGAAATATGTCTGTCAATATTAATGCTATAGATATAAAACACATACCATTTGAATTCTCTCAATAAGATGAATCTAATGACACTAAAATCATAAAAATCTAATCATTGTATGCTATGATCAATTAAAATATCTTTAAATATTCAGTACGAAATAACTCAGTTAGTATTCAAGCTGAAAATATGAAATATATACCATTCGAATCCTCTCAATAAGACGATTCTAATGATACTAAATTCATAAAATTCCAATTACTGAATGCCGAGATAATTACAAAATCGTTTTTTTATTTTATATTACACAAAATTATATAATATCATGTTAACGAATTTTCTTATAACGAAGGCCTGATTGGCTCAGACGCTTACTTCATTATATCAAGTGTTAACTGTATATGGGTATGGGATAAAGTTCCAATCCAATCCCATCCCAAATCCTATTCTATAAACTTAAACTTTAATAAATAATATTATCATAATTAATGATTATAATTTAATGATATTTAGTTCATTAGCTTCGTCTTTATGAAAAGATTTAAATGATTATTATTTTATTTTGTAAGTGAAATTATTATTAAGATATACTTAAAAATATATTATAAATTAATGGGATTTGGGATATTCAGGATATGAGATATGGGATATGAGATTTTAAATATAATATGGGATTTAGGATAGAATATAATTCTATAGTATAAGGTATAGATAGCAGCTATAGGACTGTGTATTTTATGTCAGACTATAAGAAACTGATAGTTTAGAATAAATTTTTTATAATGTTAGATAGTTTGATTAAAGACTGTTTTGATATTTTTCTTTAAAAAATAAAGTTTTTCAGAATTGACAAAAGAGAAAAACGTAATACTAATAATTTGAAGCAGATCATTCTCAATTAGGTTACCACATCTAATTAATCTTAATATATACGAATAAATTATACTATTATCTAAGTTAAAGAAATAACCAAAACATTCTATGAAATTGTTTTATTTTTTAGAAAGAGATCTAAAATTGTAATTATAGTTTTCTTAAATGAAATTGATTGATTCTGTCTTATAATCTTTTATTTTTATACAATTTCTAAAAATAGTTTATCTAAAGTAAGGAAAGTTGTAGTGATTTTGATCTGAAGATGCCCAAAGAGTGACCTAGTTAACTTGTAAAGTTGAATCTATTGGTAAAGAGGATTTATATTTAGAGAGTTTAACATTACATATAATATATTGATCTTTAATTCTATTTAAATAGACTGGATTAATAAGAACAGATTATTTTAAAAGCTCGAACCATTTAGGATAAACCTGTCTGAGATGATTTTCAAGAGTTTGTATCTTTAAGTTCCATTAAGATTTTTTATTACATATTAGTTAATCTAAGAAGAGTAACTGTTTAGTTCTAAAAAAGTTTCAGTTTCTCTTTTAAGAAAGGATTGATTGTAGGAGAATATCACCACCTTTAATTTTAAAGATAGTACCTGTATTAGAAGTTCTGTAAAAGGAAAAGAGTACTGAAGATATGAAGAAATAATATTTCCAATGAAGTTATTATATCTAATATTATTGAGTTGTTTCAGCTAACAAATTAAAGAATTCTCATGCAACTAAAAATATTCTTGAAGTTGCTAATTTAATTTTTATAGCAAAGATAAGCAACAAGTTTTTAAAATTACCATTTATCATAATAGTAAAGTGTTGTAGCTTAGACTGAATTATTAAGTCTGATAGGTCATTGAATCCAAAGAAGTGATTGCTTGATAAAATACTATTTGAAGTTGATTTGGAAAAACAAAGTTTGTATTTTATAAAGGTTCTAAGTTTTGAGAACAAGACGTCACATTCATTCTTTAATAAAATAACTTACTTTGCTCTATATTTCAAATGAGAAATAAATACTATGTTGTATAAATATTTTGGTTATTTGTCATTAGGAAATTGTATTTTAGTTTTAAAATAAAATCTGCTATTTTGTTAGCTAATTGTTGTTTAATAAAATTCTTATTATATGTAGCAGATATTCAAACACTCAAGTATCTTGTCAACTCAAAGGGTAATTTAATAGAAAAGATTACGTGAGTGTTAAGGTAGTTGCTATATATAAAAATATTATTAGTTATCAATTCAGATATAAAAATAAAGACTTTGAATGATTTACTTTTATCAAATTGGGATCAAATAAATATTGAGCTATATTAAAAATTAAGGTCAATTTTTCAATACTATTAAAGATCCATATTTTATAGTCTATATAGACTGAATTAGGAATTGAGGTTAAGAGCTCAGTTGTATCATTTGTTTTAATGTCAGGTTTTCATTTGACAGTTATATTATATCTATAATTGAGTTTTTGAATTCAGAAGAGAAGAGAATTGTAGTAAATAACTCATAGAAGAAGAAAATTGCTTCATCTTAATCTATTACAATAGTTATATTATAAGGATCAGTATTACTATAAGCAGTGAAGACTGAATTTTTTCTGTTTAAAAAAAGATTAGTGATAATGTTAATGAATATGATCAGGATACATAACCATTTTTAAGTATAAAAATATTAACTTAGTTGTATGCTTTAAACATATCTTGAAAGAACATATAAAGGTATTATAATCTTGATTTTATCTTTATAATTTCTTGTTAAGACAATAAAATTCTAGAATATTATTAACAATATATAGAGGTTCAAAAATTGACTGATAGAGTAATCCTGCAAAATTAAGTCCTTTGATGATATTATGTATAATAAAAATATTTTGAAGACGCTGATTTAAAAGTTTAACATATGCTTTTATAATAGTATCTAAAAGGTATTAGGATGGGTATTATCTAGATTGCAATTCTAAAGTTTGAGTTTAGGTATAGGATAAATTAGAGGTATGCTTCAATGAAATCTGTTCAATCTGTTATTCGATCTGATCAAAAATCAGATCATTCAGATTATAAATGAACAGATCACAAATAATCTGGATATGATTCTTAGATAATATCAGATTGATCGGACATTATATGAATGAATTAATCAGATAATCTAGTCATTTTATTTTATTTTATTTTTTTTAAAAAAAAAAACCCTTTTTTTTCTTTAGGATCAGATATGTATATGGACCTGGACTTCAGAATTTACTTAAATGGCTTGAATTAAAAGGTATATTAGAATAGAGGTAAATTCAGTTTTTTTTTAGAATGTTACTAACATTCCTTTCTTTCTTTTCTTTAAGAAACGCCTTTTTAAACCTGGATTTTAACTAGACTATGAAGATAAGTTAGTGCTTTTGTTTTTTTTTTGTCATTGGGAACATCATTAACGTTCATTTTACTTCTTTTTTTTAGGAAACCTGGATTTTGGCTTAGACTTTGAAGGTAAGTGGTATGGGAGTATTGTTTTTTGTTTCTTCTTTGTCTTTGAAACGCTATTAACATTCCTTTTGCTTCTTTTCTTTAGGGGACGCCTTTCTGAATCTAGATTTTGGCTTAAGCTATAAAGGTAAGTGGTATGAAGGTATTCTTTTTGTTTCTTCTTTATTTTTGAAATGCTATTAATGTTCCTTTTGCTTCTTTTCTTTAGGGAGCGCCTTCTTGGACCTGGATTTTAACTTAGAATATGAAGGTAAGTGGTATGGAGGTATTGTTTTTGTTTCTTCTTTATCTTTGGAATGCCATTAATATTTCTTTTGCTTTATTTCTTTAGAAGACGCCTTTCTGAACCTGAATTTCAGTTTGAGCTATGAAGGTAAGGTAGTGTGAAGGATTGTTTTTGTCAGTAGTAAGGATAATGTATTCAATAACTTAGTTGATAATTTTTGGATAAGTTTCCATAGTTTCTGTAGATATTTTTTGTTTTTGTTATTATTTAAAGGAGTTTCTAATAAAGTTTATTCGTTCATCTCTATAAGAGAGCTTGTAAACTGTCTGTTACTGTTTTTTTGTTGAGGACTTTTATTAAATTTTGGAACGTAAGAAGTTTGTTTGTTATAATTATTTGCTCTGATTTCTGGTATGATAGTTGTAAGTAAGAGTTAGTATCGATCCATATGTTTAAATCTAATCACAAAATAATAGCTTTCAGTTATTCTCAATTCCTCTGGATTGTGAGGTTCATCACAGAAGAATCTCAAACTGTGAATACCAGAACCGAAGCATAAAAAACTGTCTAAAAAGTAATGATTTCAAATACTATTTCATCAGCTAAGAATATAAAGGAAGTGAGAAAACAATTTATTAATATGTAAGAAAATGAAATAGTTTTGAGAGTTGGTAAAAAAACAAAAAAAAAACGATTTTCTGTAACGAACTTTGAACATGAATAACTTGACATCTAACAATTAGATTCCTATCATATTTAATACATACATTCGGTAAGATCTGCTCTTTCAAATAAGATTAAAACCATCCCGATCCAATTATCAAATCCAGAGATATTTGGATAAAACTGAAAGCAATTATTTTGAGATTCATCACGGAAGAAATTCAAGCAAGTTTGAATACTGAAACTGAAGAAAATGGAGCTGTCAGAAGAGTAATGATATTGAATACAAATTTTAGCATTTGGAAATCTCAAATTGTATGTTAATATGTAAGAAAAAGGGTTACCCATGAGTTTTCAAAATCAATTATTTAAACTGCAAATTCTTGAAATCCTTAAAATGAAGCAAAATAGCTTTAAAAGTTGGTAAGATCTTGAGCTGATCTAAATTCAATTTCAGAAAAAGCATTTATAAGCAAAATTTGAATTAATTTTCTAGTGATGCTAAGGTCTATTTACCTATAAGAAATTATGTAAAAATATAAAGTTACTTATAGAGTCTTAAAATACAAATTCATCTATAACCAAATCATAATCAGATTATAACCAAACTTTATCCTAACATAATCTAAATATAACCTGAATTTAATACAATTCACCTTAATCCAATCTAAACTTAATTAACATCAATTAATTACAATCTAATCCAATTCAATTCAATCTTATTTCTGAAATTAATCATTCTAATCTGATTTTAATCCAAAGCAACTCAATTTCAACTCTAACCCAACCTAACCAAACCTAACTTATCTTAGAATTTGTTAAAACTTTACCCTTTTTTATCGCGAAGTGATCCCAGAGCATCATCCGAGTAGAATTGCTAGTCCCTATATATATATTACGCGAATGTAAATCACTATAAAAATGTATTTCCGCCTTCTCGGACGGATTGTGCAACTGCCGATCGCTCAATTTAGAAAAAACAATAAACAAAAATCGCGACGCGATATAAAAACAAACATCTCGCCGAGATCTGGCGAAATTTTTATTTTAATTATTTTTACTTTTATTTTTCTTATTTCATTTTTGTTCTTTCTTTTTATTTCATTTTTTGAAAAAAAAAGAACTAAGACGAAAAAGTAAAAAAAGAAATAGTAATAAAAACGAAAGAAAAACGAAATGAAAGGAAAAAGAAATAATAAAAGAAAAATAACAAACAAAAAAAGAGAAAAGAAAAATATTAAAAAAAAATATTAAAAATTAAAAAGTAAAAATAATGTAAAAGAAAAAAGAAATAAAAAAGAAAAAAACAACCGAACGAAAAACGAAAAAAAAGTAAAAATAAAATAAAAATAAAAAAAAACTATATTAAAAAAAAATAAAACAAAAAGAAAAAAGCGAAAGTAAAATCTAAAAAGAAAATTAAGGAAAAAACTAACAAAACAAAATAAAAAAAAGAAGTAAAAAGATAAATACAAACGAAAACAAAATCTAAAAATAAAAATAAAAAAAGTGAAAACTAAAAAAAAACTAAAGAAAACAAAATAAATAAAATTAAAAAGACAAAAGATAAAAAAAAAATAATAAATTAAAAAGAACGAAAAATGAAAATAAATTAAAAAGAAAAAAAAATACCACGAGGGGGAATTAAAAAATGCAAAAAAATTAAAAAAATATATATATAAAGAAAAAAGGCCGGAGGGGAGAAGATAAAAAATAAAAGAAAAGCTAAAGAAATTAACGAAAAAGAAATAAAAGGTATAAAAAAACTAAAAGATAATAAAAACGAACAAAAAGGTAAAAGAACGAAAAAAAATTTATAAAAAGATAAAAGGACGGGAGGGAATAATAGAAAATATAAAAAAAATAAAAGTACAAAAAAGAAAAGACCGGGTGGAGAGGAAAAAATAAAAATAAAAATAATATATATAAATAATAAAAGAACAAGACCGGAGGGTGAAAAAAAATAATAATACCAAAAATAAAATAAAAATAAAAAATCTGGGGGAATAATAATAATATATAAAAAAAGATTCCGGGAAATTAAAAAAAAAATAAAAAAAAGAAATACAAAAAAAGGAAAATGCAAAAAAAAAAAATAAAAAAAGGCTGGGGGAAAAAGTAAAAAAAATATAAAAAAATAAAGGCCGGGGAATAAATAATAATAATAATAATAATAATAAAATATAAAGGTTGTTTTAAATATTTTATTTTAAAAAAAAAAGAATTTGGTCTGTTGCGATGGCACAGTCAGGTGCATAATGAAATTGTTTTTATTGTTTTTTTTTTCTAATATTATGTATTGTTTATTCCTATTGTTAATTTATTTACTTAATTAATAATTAATTAATCAGTCAGCTCATAATTATTGATTAATAGTTTATTATTTTATAGGTTAGATTATTAGATTCGCCACTTTGGTTTGTCACAGCGACGCAATAAGGTGGGTAACTTTTTTTTATTATTTTACTAATTTTTTTTTGTTATTAATCAAATCTAATGGCTTTTTTTCAATTTTGGCTAGGAACGATTCCGCCTTTCGGATGTGACACCCTTCGGTTCATCACGGTGATGCAGTCAGATGCGTGACGAAATTTTCTTTTTATTATTGTTTATATTGTTTATTATTTTTACTAGCTATTCAGCTAGGATGATGCCTCAGGTTTCAGAAACAATAAGTCTCTGGTATATTTAAAATCGCAATTGTTATTATTTATAATTAAGAAAAAAAGGTAAAAAAAGTCTAATTATTAAATTAAATAAGAATAAATAAAATTGAAATTAAAAATTAATATGATAAAAAAAATGTATATATATATAGAAACTATCAAAAAATAAAAAAATTAATAAATTAAATAGAAATTAATAAAAAAAATTAAACGAGGGAAAAAAAGACGAATAAATAAAATAAATATAAATATATAAATCTAAAAAAATAAGAAAATTAATAAAAAAATTAGAGGAACGAATAAAAATATAAAAAAATATCACCGAAAGTAGAAAATAAGTCAAAATTGAATGAAAGAAAAAAATAAAAAAGAAAAACTAAATGATAATAACGAAACAAAAAAAAAATTAAATAAGAAAAAAAGAAAAATGCAAAACTAAAAGAAAAATGAAAAAAAAATGAAAAAACTAAAACGAAAATAAAAAAAAAAATAAAAAAAAAATGAATAAGGAACTAAAAAGAAAAGGAGAGATTAGCGAGCAGAATAAAAAAATGAAAATGAAAAAAAATACATATATAAAATTTAAGAAAAATAACAAAAAGCGAAAAAGAAAAAAAAATAAATTAAAAAAAAAATAAAAATACCGGGCGGGAGGAATCAAAAAAAAAAAATAATTTAAAAAAATATAAAACGAAATTGAAAAAAAATTAAAAAATGAAAAAAAATGAAAATTAAAAAAAAAATTACCGGGCGGGGGGGGGGGGGGGGAAAAAAAAAAAAAAAAAAAAAAAAAAAAAAGGAAGGAAAAAAAAAAAAAAAAAAAAAAAAAAAAAAAAAAAAAAAAAAAAAAAAAAAAAAAAAAAAAGAAAAAAAAATAAGAAAAAAAACAAAAAAAATAAAAGAAAACAGAAAAAAGGACTAGAGGGAGAAAAAAAAGAAAATAAAAAAAAAGAAGAAAAATAAGACAAAATAGAGGGAAAAAAATTAATGTAAAAAAAAGAATTAATTAAAATAAAAAAGAAAAAAGAAAAAAAATAAATTGATTGATAAATTGATTGATTTTAGATAAAACAGTTTATTTATTTTTAAAAAGTAAGACTTATTTTCGACTTGAGTTAAGTCAAGTTTAAGTTAAGTTTAAATTAAGTCAAATTAAATATTTAACTTGACTCAAACTCGATTTGACTCACAAATTATCAAGTCAAAAAAATATAAACTCAACTTGATTTAAACTTGACTCAGTTTATCTGACTCATAAGTTAGCTTAACTTATTCAGAACTCTAACAATTACTTAAAATTAAATTAAAATTAATAAAATTCTTAGAAATAAGACATATTCTAGTAATCAAATGATAATTTTATTTATCTTGGTATTATTTTAATTCTTCTAATTTATTAATTTTTAAATTATTATTTCAGAATGTCATTATATCTTTGACTTATTTCAACTGTCTTTTTAAAACGTATATTTGAATATATATGATAAATTATAGAGAATTTTACAATATTAGATTTTTTAATGATGAATAAAAAAGTAATTAAAATAATTTCAATTGAAATGAAAGATAATATTCTTATTTTTTATAAAAAAATATAGAATTTATAAAAATACCTTTTTTAAGATAATCTAATATAATCAGATAATAATAATAAATATAATATTCATCTTTTTACTGTAAAGAATAAACTTTTAAAAACTTTATTAAACTTACTAAATATGTATGATATAGATTCTAATATGCTAAAGGTTTATAAATAAAATTTAATTAAATTTAAACTCAATATTATTTATTTATTATTAATAAAAATTTAATAATTATTATAGATTTCAAATGCAATAAATTTTATATTAAAGGATGTGAGAATTGATTATAAATAACCTAAATATATTACTATAATTCAAAATACTTTATATATACATACTCTGAAATATCTTAGTTTTAATAATATTACTAATGATATTAATGAAAGCAATAGTTATAATAATATTAATAATGATAATATTAACAATAATATTAATAATAATTCATATGCTCAAATTAATCAAATACTATTATAATATTAATATTATATCAGGACCCTAAACAATATATGTATATGTTAGATTTGAGATTGCTTATTAAACATAGAAAATTTTTGATTAAGTCACCTAAAATTTT